CAAGCTGCTGCTGCACGTGGCAGCGCACGGCACGAGGCAGTGGAGGGCCGTTGTCAACGCGGGACTGCTGCCAGGCCGGGACACCAAGGCCTGCTGCAACCGATTCATCATCCTAAAGAGGTAAGAATTGGCTCGTGTGCAGTATGCTTTTCTTTCTTTCTTCTTCTTCTCATTTTTACTTTTCTGGTGATAGGATTTTCGCAATTGTATTTTTGGCTTACGTAACCTAAACACCTTCTATTTCCCGTCTCTCCTGTATGCTTTGCTGCAGGAAGTATTTCAGCTTCCAGGAGAGGCTGCAGGGTCAATTCCATCCATTACTGGGATTTCCTGAGGACAATTTCTCACTGCAAATGACTGCCGAAGATGGACCTGACAACGGAAGTATAGAAGCTGCTCTGGAGTCCGATGATTGCATCATTTTCACCGAGTGTGCTGCACCAGCGCCTGTTATCAAGGCTGCTGCTGCTAGTGAATCTGCTTTTGCTGAGTATGGTTCTCCCGGGGTGAGCACTGCTTCTAACGCCGTTGCGACTCAAGCTGCTGCTGCGGTCACAAATGCGAGTGCTGCCGATGGTGGTCGTAACTTCACTTGTGCTGCTGCTAGTGAACCTGCTTTTGCTGAGTTTGGATCCCCTTGGGTGCGCACTGGATCTAACGCCGTTGCGACTCAAGCTGCTGCTGGAGTTACAGATGCGAGTGCTGCTGACGGTGGTAATCCCACTTCTGCTGCTGCTGCTGGTGCTGCTGCTGCGGCAGCTTGGGCAAAAGAAGCAGGCGTGATAGACCTTCTTCTCGTTCCACAACAAGAGCCTGCGAATGAGTTCACTGGTGTGCATTTTAGAAGGACGCATGTGTGCCGCACCTCTCAGGCTGCTGCTTCTGTAGCTGCTCCTGCTCCTGCTCCTGCTGGTGCTGCAGTTTTTCTGGGAAGGGAGGCAGCAGAAGAAACAGGAATCGTGAATGTCCCTCCTCTCCCCACACTGCATGAAACTGAGCACTGGAGAATCCGAACAGAGACTACCAATCGGGCTTCCCAAGAAACGGCACCAGATTTGCAACACAGGCAGTTTGAAGAGAGCGATGCTGGCAGGTTCCTGGAAGCTGCTCTTTTGGACCTGATTAGCAGAGCGGCAGAATCTCCAGCTTGCATTCAAACGAATTCCCTTCCATTGTCTCCTTGGATGTCTGTCGAACCGGCCAAGGAGATTTGCGGAGGAAGAAGCAGCAGCAGCTTCGACTCGAGAGCCAATGAGCTGGTACTTAAAGAATGCAGTGGACTGCAAGGCTTGCAGATTCCATCATCCGGGGGGCAGGGGGCAGGTTCGGCGTTGGAGTTCCTAGCAACCTTCCCAGTACTGGATGATAGTGAAACAGTGGGGGAGTTGCTGGATTCCCTCGACTACTCGGCACCAAGAGGGTGCCATGCAGTTGCACCCAGCCAGCCTAGGCAACCGTGGGTGAATGGCGGGTTTAACAGGCTCCTTGCAGACCAACAGCAGGCTCCAAGCCGGTCTGGTTTAAATGGTGGAAGCGTTGAGGGTTTGCTGGAGAGGCTTTGCTCCCAGGTTGGGCCTGGATCTGGCCATCCTTGTGGGATGCGGCCAAACTTAATGTTTGAGGTCATGGCTAGTGGGAGCTGGGCCTTTCAATAAAGGCAGCCCTTTGTAGTAGCGTTTGCGTTTTGTTTGATTTTGTATGTGTAGGTCTGGTGATGTTGATAAATTGGTGTGTAATGAAGGCTAATCGAAAGAAATATCTGGACCCTCACTTTTGGTTCGGGTCGTGTCTTCTTACAACTACCGTACGACTTGCATTTATATCACATAGGAACTAATTGTATCAACAATATTCACAAACCGAATCCCAAGCACTTTCACTTCCACACCAAAACGAGGACAGAACAGCGCGTTCTCATCACCTTCGGCTTCAATCCTCGAAGCAGGCCCGCGGGGATGATCACCCCAAGGTACGTTGCTGCAACGCGGTTTTAATACGTTAAACTTCGTTGCAATGCGGTTCAAGCTGTTGAGACAAAGTTGCACTTCGGTGGCGACTCGATCAACAGCGTGGGACCTCAGATCCGCGATATTGGTCTTGTGTGGGTAATCTCCAGGTTCTTCGTTATCCCTTTCTTCGTTAGTCTGTCGGGCGTCCAGCGACCATCGATAGTATCACCGCCGATCCCTCTCTTCCCACCGTTTCCCCTTGCGCCACCGCGTCGCAGGCAAGCCTTCCCCTTCCCCGGCGCGACCCATCCACTTCCCCCACCCCGCCGCTCCTCCGCTCCCCCCCTCCGCCACTCCCCCGTTCCGCTGCCGCTCCGCCGCTCCGCCGCGCATGGCGACGGGAGGCGGGCTGTTCGGGTCCACAGCGGGATCGTCGCTGTTCGGCCAGCAGCAGACTACCCCCGCGACGCCGTCGTTATTCGGCCAGCAAACGCCCGCCATGCCCTCGTTATTCGGTCAAACCACCCCCGCAACGCCTTCGCCGTTCGGGCAGCAAACTCAAGCTGCCGCCGCGCCGTCCCTTTTCGGCCAGACGACCCCCGCAGCGCCCTCGCCGTTCGGCCAATCAGCTCCCGCGTTCGGCGCTGCGTCCACCCCCGCGTTCGGCGCCGCTTCTAGTTCCGCGTTTGGTGCAACGCCTACCTCCGCATTCGGCGCTGCTTCCACGCCCGCTTTCGGAGCTGCCTCCACCCCCGCGTTTGGCGCTGCGTCGACGCCCGCTTTCGGCGCAACTACCTCCGCATTCGGCGCTACAACCACCTCCGCATTCGGCGCTACCCCTACCTCCGCATTCGGCTCTACCCCTACCTCCGCATTCGGCGCTGCTTCCTCGACGCCTGCCTTCGGCGGTCAATTAACCCTATCCCAACCGCAGCAGCAGCAGCAGGGGGCGCTGCAACAGGCGCAATTCGCGGCGCAATCCGCGCAGTGGTCCGCGGCGCTTCCGGAAAGGGAAGTCGCCGCGATCGCCGCCGCGTATTTCGGCGACGCGCGGAATCCGCTAGGGCGGTTCGTGAGCCCGTTCCTTAGCGTCACGCACCCCCTGGCGCGCTTCCGCCCGCCCAACGTTCCCGAGCTGACGTGGCAAGAGGCGATTGGCCTGCTGGCGGCGGCTGGCCCGGAAAACCAGGCGGACGGGCTGTGGCCGGAAATGGTTTGCGGATTCTCGGGATTGTCGAAGAGACTGCAAGTGCAGGTAGGAGGAGGAGAGGGTGCGAGTTGATTGGACGGTGAGGGAAGGGCTGTGGCCGGAAATGGTTTGCGGATTCTCGGGATTGTCGAAACGACTGCAAGTGCAGGTAGGAGGAGGAAAGGCTGTAGATTTATTGGAAGGTGGGCGTTGGGAGGAGGAGGTAGCAGGTAGGATGTAGGAGGTGGGAGGTGGGAGGTGGGAGCTAGGGAAATACTTATGTGCAGGCGTACGGGCTGTGGCCGGCGATGGTTTGCGGATTCTCGGGATTGTCCAAGAGACTTCAAGAGCAGGTAGGAGGAGAGAGGGGAGATTGTTGAGTGGAAGGAGGGAAGGAGGTGGTAGGAGGTAAGACGATTCCCTCACACAAACTAACAGGACGAGACAGTTTAGTCAGGATGAGACAGTAGGGGCGGATGGGCAGAGGCGGGATGGGTGGCGGTGGGGCAGGAGAGAGCGCGAGACAGCAGCAGCAGCAGCTACTCTTCCCTTGTTTCCCGTGACCCCTTCTGTTTGCCCTTCCCCCTTCAGGAGGAGGCAATAGAGGCGGATGGGGAAAAGCGGTGGTGGGGCAGGTGAGGGCGCACGTATCAGCAGCTGCTAAGTCCGGGTCTCCCACTCTTCTCTCTCGACTCTGCTTCTTAACTCTCCACTCCCCCTTCCTCTTCAGGACGAAACGATAGAAGCGGATAGGCAGCGGTTGGATGCGGTGGAAGCAGCAGTGGGGCAGGTGAGGGCGCACGTGACAGCAGTGACAGAGGGGCGACAGGGGGCGGTGAGGCAGAGACAGCAGCAGCTGCTTGCTAAGGCATTGTCTCTCTTGTTTCTCCTGATTTCCTCGTTCTCTTTGCCCCTCAGGACGAAACGATAGAGGCGGATAGGCAGCGGTTGGATGCGGTGGAAGCGGCGGTGGGGCAGGTGAGGGCGCACGTGACAGCAGTCACGGAGGGACGGCAGGGGGCTGTGAGACAGAAGCAGCAGCAGCTGCAGCAGCGGGTGCTGCGACTCATGCGACTTGTCGAGGTGCGTATGCGTTGGGGGGTTTGTGGGGGGTTATGGGCGGTATGGGGGGTTTACGTGGTGGTGTATGTGCGTGACTGACAGGTGCGGAAGGGATAGCAACAAAAGAGAGCAGATGCAGCAGCAGCTGCAGCAGCGGGTGCTGCGACTGATGCGACGGGTGGAGGTGCGTTTGTGCTGGGGGGGAGGAGGAGGTTATGGGTAGGTGTATGGGTGTAAAGGGGGAGGGGGGAAGGGATAGCAACCAAATAGAGGCAGAGTTTTTTCATCGACTCGAAACTAGATGTATGGGCATAAGTGGGGAGGGGGAAAGGGATATCAACCAAACAGAAGCAGAGGAAGCAGCAGCTGCAGCAGCGGGTGCTGGGACTGATGCGTCTGGTGGAGGTGCGTTTGTGGGAAGAGGGGGTGTTCTTGGGAAAGAGTTTGGGGGAGGGGCGTTGTTTTAGGGAAATTGTTGCATGGACATATGAGGGTTGTGGGGGAGTGTACGGGTGTGGAGGAAGCGCGGGGAGGGGGGGGATATGGGCGTGTTCTAGTTGGGGGTGTAGGCGTCTGACCTTATACAGAGGCATCATGCATCAGAGGTCGCAGAAAGCTGCAGTGCCAGCTGCTGCTCGTGAGTATTTTTGAAACTTAAGCAATAACCCAAGAAGCATCCTGCCGAGACAGAGGCAGCATGCATTCATGCTTTCAGGAAATCGGCTGCGGCTCTTGCTGCTGCTGCTGCTGCCGCCGACGCAGGTTGGGCATCGCATGCACTCATCTAACCGAAAATCGACAACAAGTTGGGCAAAATCGAGGTTTGAGGCGCCTAAGAAATAGCAGATGGATGTACTTGACAGACTCGACTGCTTCCTCCTTTCTTTTCGTCAGACCATGAACCTCAGGACTAAGTGGAGAAAGACGCTGGGGGCGTCCTGCATCCTGCGTCTGGACGCATGCGTCCTAGACGCAGGACGCGTCTTTCTCCACTTAGCCTCAGGACATCTCCCCATCCCTCTTGAATCGACTCACTCAAAGGACTCCTCCGTGCCTCCCTTGCTCTCTTCCCCCACGCCCCTCCCTCCTAGCAGATTATGGAGCTTAGAACATCGCCCCACGTCCCTCTCTCACCAACTGAGCTTCTTCTATCAGACAGGCTTCAGGTAAGCTACCAGATGGGATGGGCTTCAGGTGAGTTCCCAGATGGGGTTTCAGGTGAGTGCTTAGATGGGGTTGGCTTCATGTGAGTGTTTAGATGGGATGGGCTTTAGATAAGAGTCCAGATGGGCTTCAGGTGGAGTTCCAGATATGTTTCAGGTGGGGCCGAGCACGTCATCCTCCCTGTGCCTCTGTGCTCCTCTCCTCCCACACACCACCCCACGTCATGTGTATGCACACTCCCTCACCCACGCCTCTCTTCCCCATCCCCTCCCCCCTCCCCTCCCAGTCCCTCCTCCGTCTGCTGTGCAGCGGAGCATCAGAACTCCCCCGCAAGGTCGAATCCCTCGCTTCAGCAACCAGTATGCTGGTCTGCTTGTGCCCGCTCCACCTCTCTTCTCCCAACCGCACAAACCCCCCTTCCCTTCCCCCTCCTCCCCCCCACCCAGTTCCTTCTCCGTCTGCTGTGCAGCGGGGCATCAGAACTCCCCCGCAAGGTCGAATCCCTCGCTGCAGCAGCTTCCCTGCTGGCCGATGGGGCGGGAGAGGGCGGGGGCGCGGACACAGGCGCGGGGGGAGCAGCAGGGGGAGCAGGGGGCGCGGGGGAGGGCGGGGGAGTGAGGGTGGAGGAGTGGAGCTTGGAGCGAATGAGGGGGGTGGTGGCGACACAGGCAGAGGCGGTGGGGCGGCTGGCACAGCTGGTGGAGAGAGATGTGAGGGATGTGGGGATCATGATGGGGGGAGGGGGAGTAGACCCCCTAGGGGGAGTGGCGGGAGCATAGGGCAGGCATGGGCTTATGGTAGATGGGGGCAGAGAGCAGACACCACAAGCACAGGTGGTGGTAGGCTGGCACAGCTGGTGGAGAGAGATGTGAGGGACGTGGGAATCATGATGGGGGGAGGGGTGATGGATCCACTAGGGGGAGTGGCAGGAGTGTAGGGCAGTCAAATGGGGCATGGAATGGAACACCCAAGGGGCAGAGTGCAGGGGCGTAGAGGCAACACACACACACACAGGCGGTGGGGAAGCTGTCACGGGTGGTGGAGAAAAATGTGAGTAGCGTGGGAGTTATGATGGGACGAGGCAGCGTCATAGGGCATGGAGACAGAGCATACGAGGAGCGGAATGCAGTGGAAACAGGACTGTGGTGGAGGCATGGGCGGGGGTTTGAGACACCTCTAAGGGGTTGAGGGGGATGGGATGGCGATGATTACACAGGCCGATTCGGTGAGGTGAGGGGGGTATGGTATTGGTTGGTGGCATGGGATGGGAGGGGTGGCAGCCTCGCAGGTGCAGAGAAAGAGTACGCAATAGTGATTTGGTGTCAGAATCCCAGCCACTAACCACTGGGATAAAAGGGCTTGTTTGTGTAGCGGGTGAGTGCGCCCATAACCCCCCAGGCCAACGTGCCTGTAGCCCTTCCCTAGGATCAATCGGGGATCACCAGTGGACCTCTGACACCCCCCCGCATTGGGATGCCCGAGGTGCACACACCGGGATTCGAACCCGAGACCTTTGCTCTGATACCATGTCAGAATCCCAGTTACTAACCACTGGGATAAAATGACTTGTTTGTGTAGCGGGTGAGTGCGCCCATAACCCCCCAGGCCAACGTGCCTGTAACCTTTCCGTAGGATCAATTGGGGATCACCAGTGGACCTCTGACATTTGGGCATGTTGTAGAGGCATGGTATGGTGGGAGTTTTTGTGGCGACAATTGTTTGTTCGGCAGTGAGTGTTTGCAAATGAGGAATGGCTTTGTATCGAGTATAATATGATAAGAGGCATATCAGGGTAAATATAATGCAGTATGCATTCTTCCACTTGGCTAGCTATGGTAACTTTTAGTCGTATTCTTCTAGATACTGCAAACCAGTAAGAAGTATTTATCACAAGCGAATTTGTGACTACCACATTATTTTATCGAGTCCGCTCTTACCTAGAAATTGACCGCGCTGCATCGACCTGTTCTACAACCGCACCAGAAGGAACCGTACGAAACAATTCAGGAGGAGGCGATGCGACGGGGCAATTCTGCAACTCCATTCCCCTGGTCTGTTTTGGTTTCCTCTGCGTCTGCTGCAGCCGCAAGGCTCCAAGCGCTCCCATGGCGTTCCGTAGCTCACGCCGTCTCGTGCGAGCCGCCATTTCCGCGCGTATTACTAACCCGGAGACGGCTCTTCGATCACACGCCATTGCCACAGCAACCGTCGATCTAACAGGCTGTGATCGAACCGTAGATTCGCCCTTTCTATCTTCTCCACCGTCCGATGCCGACACGCGCGAGTCGCGAGCGTGTCGCCTTCTCGATGAGATAACATATCCCATCGCGCCGAACCGTACACGTGGCATTGCGTCGCTAGCCAGACTCGCCGCTCCCTTATTCCCCGCGCCACCGCTCCGCGTTCCCCCCGCCAACGCCACTCCGCTCATTGTCCCACGCTCCCGTTCCAATCCAGCAGCGGCCCTTCCGCCGGCCGCAGCGTCGGTAATCCCAAGGCGGTGCCTGGCGCACTCTCACCGGCGAACGGGTGCGTGATTGTGTGGACGTGCTTGTAGAGAATGTGCTAACATGGAGTGTGCTTCGCGCACTCCCACCGGCGAACGGGTGCGTGACGTGATAATACAGTGCCGCGCATGGGTCCGTGAGGGAAGATGAACAAATGCCCCCCCTTCTCTCCCCGCCCTCCCACCTCTCACCCGCGCAACCCTCAATCCTGATAGACAAGCTACACAAGCAGCACAAGAAGCAAGGCAAACATGAGGAGAGGGAACGTGGAGGATGAGGAGGAGGAGGAGGAGGAGGAGGAGGAGGACGAGGAGGAGGAGACAGGAAGAGGATCGAAATCAGGAGCCAAAAAGAAAGGCAAGGACAAGAAGGAAGCTTCTGGGAAGAAGGGCGGCGGGGGGAAGAAGGGCCGAGGAGGGGGAGGAGGGGCGGGTGAGGGGGAGGAGGGGGGAGGAGAGGAGGCGGTGCAGGGGGCGGTAGATCTGGTGAAGGTGCATGTGGAGGAGGCGAAGGAGGCGCTTATCAAGGAGCTTGCTAAGATACGGACAGGCCGTGCTGCACCCGGTGAGATTGGTGAAGGTGAGGGGGAAGGTCGTGCAGGGGGCGGTAGATCTGATGAAGGTGCATGTGGAGGAGGCAAAAGAAGCTCTTATCAAGGAGTTCGCCAAGATAAGGACAGGCCGTGCCGCCCCCGGTAATCTTCGGATGTATTTCGGGTTTGAATGTATGCAATCAATTAGGAGAAAGTGACAAACGCAGGAGATGACTTGAGCTCAGTAATGGCCTTGGATTGGGTTGGGTGGGTGAAGGTGCATGTGGGGGAGAGAGGAGGCTGTGCAGGGGGCGGTAGATCTGGTGAAGGTGCATGTGGAGGAGGGGGGAGGCGAGGAGGCGATGCAGGGGGGGGTGCAGGTGCATGTGGAGGAGGCGAAAGAAGCTCTTATCAAGGAGCTTGCCAAGATAAGGACAGGCCGTGCCGCCCCTGGTACGTTTGGATGGTGAATATTACTTTTGAGAATTCTCAAAAGTAATATTCACGTTGTTTGGATGGTTATTACGTTGGTTCTCAACAATCAACTGGACTAGAGTAGGCACCCCACAGGAACACACAGGATGTGACTTTAGCTCAGTAATTGCCTTGGATTGGGTTGGGTGAGTGAAGGTGCTGGTGGGGGAGGCGAGAAGAGAAGGCACTGCAGAGGGGGGTAGATCTGGTGCAGGTGTGTGACGTCTTCAAACCAACGTACAGTGAGGGTGCATGTGGGGGAGGAGGCAAAAGAGCCTCTTATCACCATGTCAGGGTGCATGTGATAAGAGGTTGGTCAAGATAAGACCTCTTATCACATGAGATAGGGCGGGCCGTGCCTATCCCGGATTGCATCGCAAGTCCCTCGTTACCCACCCTCGTTACTGTCACACACACAGGTCTGGTAGGCTACGCCCACGTGGAGGCGTATTGCCGCCCCTCCTGTTACTATCAGGCTTGTTTGTACTGATGAAGGCTTGCAAAAGCCGAAACTAGTTTACTCAAGTTCTGACGTTAAGATTCGATTTTGTTCAAACTGGCTTACTAAAATACGATCTAGCATACAAGCTTAAACCAGGCTCACCATTTTCATTTCATGGAGTTTGTCTCGCCGTCTCAGTAACACTCAGGTTGATGGACATCAGACCTCCGCAGCCCACCTGTTTACTAATAACATCATCCTTCTTTACTCTCAACTCTCACAGCTCCCACCCTCGTTACTGTCACACACACAGGCCTCCTTGACCACGTGCATGTGGAGGCGTACGGCCGCCCCTCACCATTGTCACGCGTTGCCACAGTCACGGTCAAGGACCCCCAACTGCTCTCCGTCACACTCCACGATGCGTCTGTGAGTATAAGATGCATGGTGCTGCTGTTCCCCCTGTAAGCTGTCAAGTCAACAGTCCCCTGCTTCTCCTCCTCATCGCATCTCACAGTCACAGTCAAACGCCCCTAGGTGTTTCAGTCACACTCCATGATGCGTCTGTAGGTAATCTGCTAGACTAGGTAGCATACCCCTTGTGAGTTATCAAGTCAAGGACTCGCACCCTCTCCTCCTCATCGCATCTCACAGTCACAGTAATGCGCCCCTAGGTGCTCTCAGTCACACTTTTTTATGTTCCCGTGCATGTATCTGGTGCTTAGATGGGTCGCATGTTCTAGGACCTCACGCAATCGTAGAGTTACGAGTATTGTAGAAGTCACGCGTGCGTGCGCGTAAAACAACGCAGCATGTGTTCGGGCTGGACTTGAAAAAAAAAAGACCCACCAGGCAGAAACGACCTTGAAACCACCACGTTAATATCAAGACCCACCCTTCCTCCCCCTCTCCCCACTCCCCCCCCTTACCCACAATGCTCCAGCTGCTGGGAGCGGCGATGAAGGGCCTGCAATAATCGCCCACGGGGTTGAATCCCTCGCACACGTGCTCTCTCAATCCCTCTCCCCCCCACATCTCCTTCTCTATCCCCCAACCATCCCCCCTCAATCCGCTATTTGCTAGGAGCGGCGATGAAGGGCCTGCAGGAGTCGGCCATGGGGTTGAAGGTTGGTCTGATCCACCACTTTCGTATCATTCTCCCCTCCTCCTCCCCACCCTTCCCCCTTCCCCTCAACCCGCTAGCTGCTAGGAGCAGCCATGAAGGGCCTGCAAGAATCGCCCATGGGGTTGAACCCCTCTCACACCTCGCACACTGTCATCCTCGTGCCCATCCCCAAGTGAGCGCTTCGCTTCCCTCGCACACCTCCCACTCATGCTTCCTTATATTCGCCCATAGGGGCTGAACCCCTCTCACACCTCGCACACTGTCATCCTCGTACCCATTCCCAAGTGAGTGCTTCGCTTCCCTCTCACACCTCCCACTCATGCTTCCTTAAAGTCGCCCATGGTGTTGATTGAACCCCTCTCACACCTCCCACTCATGCTTCCTTCAAGTCGCCCATGGGGTTGATTGAACCCCTCTCACACCTCCCACTCATGCTTCCTTAAAGTCGCCCATGGGGTTGATTGAACCCCTCTCACACCTCCCACTCATGCTTCTTCAAAGTCGCCCATGGGGTTGATTGAACCCCTCTCACACCTCCCACTCATGCTTCTTTAAAGTCGCCCATGGGGTTGATTGAACCCCTCTCACACCTCCCACTCATGCTTCCTTAAAGTCGCCCATGGGGTTGATTGAACCCCTCTCACACCTCCCACTCATGCTTCCTTAAAGTCGCCCATGGGGTTGATTGAACCCCTCTCACACCTCCCACACTGTCATCCTCGTGCCCATCCCCAGGTAAGCACGCCTCTCCACTTTATTGTGCATTCCGAAGCCAGTTTCGATTTTTTTAGTCGACTCCACTTGATTCTGCATGTCGAGGTGACTTTTGACTCCACTCAAAAGTTGCTAGTGAGAATTCTTAGAAGCCAGCCAAAAGCTCTCCCATTCCAGGTAAGCACATGTCTCCGCTTTATTGTGCACTCCGTAACCTGTGGCTACTAAGGTGGCTTTAATCATGCGCGATAATTATTCTGCCTCAACGATTATTTATATTGCAATATGTTGTTTTGTGTAGGGGGGTTCGGTATGATCGTTTCAATCATCGCGGTTGTCTATTGTATTTTAGTCCCCGTTTAAACCCTCTAACTTCTCGTTTTGCTTCTCCTCTTTTTGTCCTCCTTGTTTCCCCTTCCCTCCTCACATGCTCATTTGACTTCACCCACCTTCTAGGTTGACCAAGGAAGTGAGAGAGGTGAGAGGAGGGGAGTGAGGGAGGTGAGAGAAGGGGAGGGACCACATCCCCACGTTCTTACATGCTCACTTGACTAAATGCTCACATGACTAAATGCTCACATACTCACATGCCCACATGCTCACATGCCCGCACTACCATCCCTGTCCTCGTCTCCTTCCCCTTCCCGTTCCCATTCCCATTCTCCATCCCCATCCCCATCCCCATCCCCATCCCCATCCGCTTCCCCTTCCCCTTCAACATCCCCATCCCCATCCCCTTCACCTTCCCCATCCCCTTCCCCTTCCCGTTCCCGTTCCCGTTTCCGTTCCCCTTCCCCTTCCCCTTCCCCTTCCCCTTCCCCTTCCCCTTCCCCTTCCCCTTCCCCTTCCCCTTCCCCTTCCCCTTCCCCTTCCCCTTCCCCTTCCCCATCCCCATCCCCATCCCCTTCCCGTTCCCGTTCCCGTTCCCCTTCCCCTTCCCCATCCCCATCCCCATCCCCTTCCCCTTCCCCTTCCCCTTCCCCTTCCCCTTCCCCTTCCCCTTCCCCTTCCCCTTCCCCTTCCCCTTCCCCTTCCCCTTCCCCTTCCCCTTCCCCTTCCCCTTCCCCATCCCCTTCCCCTTCCCATTCCCCTTCCCCTTTCCCTTCCCCTTCCCCTTCCCCTTCCCCTTCCCCTTCCCCTGCCCCTTCCCATTCTCCTTCCCATTCCCCTTCCCCTTCCCCATCCCCTTCCCCTTCCCATTCCCCTTCCCCTTCCCTCTTGCTCTATCCATCCCGCTCCCCATCAACCCTTCCTCCTACCCCCCTTCCCCAGGCCATGTTTAAGCTCGCTCAGAAGGCTGCGGAATCTGCAAGAGTGAGCTTGCGGCGAGCAAGGAAGGAGGTGAGGGAGGGTCGCTTGGCGGGTTGCTGAGTGGCTTGCGTGGTGTGTGGCTTGCGTGCTGAGTGGCTGTGTGACTTGATGCAAGCAACCTTCCATGAGTGCATCTATAAATCCTGAATCATCTGCCATATTCTGCAGTGCGTGACTTGAACGGATGCCTTTTGTTTGTGTGTTGGAGATTGTTTTTGAGAATTCTCAAAAACAATCTGCAGCCATTTGTTCGCGTGTTGGACGGCAAAGAAAGGGTGTTTTGAGACGTCTCAAAACACGACGCCCTATCCTCGTTCTAATTTGCGTGCATGCGATGTGAGCCGTCTAAGTTCCTCCAACTTTTGCACCAAGTTCTGAGCTCTTCTGCAACGACTCTCAAGCGCACTGAGCTGATACGTGAGGTGCACTAAGTGCCTCTCAAGTCAGATCGGAGCCCTTTTTTCTTTCTGAATCGTATGGATGTGAGGCGTCTACATTCTGAGTGCTTCTGTGGCAACTCATAGATCGACCTTTGAGCTGCCTTTACAAATGCCTTGTGAAAATGCCTCGTGCACTTCTAACGGCACCCCGGATATTTTAGTCGAGTAGAATAAGGGCGTTGGTGTCAGAATAAACGGACTGGAATGATTGAACTAACAGAGAAATCAGTACAAATAGCAAACCCTAGAATTGTGTACCCACTATAGCCTAACAAACCCAACATATATAATGTTTGACACACCCCCATAGGCAAAGTGGGGGAGACCTAGGGGTCACAAGACCAGTCAAGGCAAAGCAAGGCAACAACAAGCTCAGGGTGGATCTCGAGGATTCCACACAAATTCCGAGCACAAGCTAGTGGTCACAAGACCAGTTCACATGCAGGTTTATAACAGAGCCAGAGATACAGTGATCACAACCTAGCAAGAGTAAACATGCAGGTATAGATATATATAGTGATCACAGTACAAGCAAAGTCAAGAGGTAAGCAAGTGAGGACCAGTAGGCACAAGGCCTAGTAGAGTGCAGAAGCGCTGATGGTCACGAGGCTGAAGCGCCTTGGTGAACACATCAGCAGTGTTGGCCTCAGTGGCCACGTAGCGAATACAAAGCTGACCGCGCTGCTGCAGCTCTCGAGCAAGGAAGTACCGCAGGGCGATGTGCTTCGTTCTGTGCTCCAGTCTGTGCTCCTCACACAAGGCAATGGCAGCCTTGTTGTCGACGTACAGTACTGGAGGAGAACGAGGCGGCTCTCCGAGGTCAGTCAGCAGGTAGGTCAGCCAGCGTAGCTCCTGGGCAGCCATGGCTGTAGCGTAGATCTCAGCCTCGCAACTGGAGCCGAGAACAGAAGAAGAGCGTGTAGAGCGCCAAGAAACTGAGCCAGAGCCAAGGCTGAAGGTGTAACCCTGAGACGACCGCTGAGTGGCCTGGTCGTCTGCCCAAGAAGCGTCTGAGTGCCCTGTGAGCACAACTCGGTCTCGCCCTCCAAGGCAGAGCTGAGAGCGAGTGACCGGTAGGCAGAGGAGTGGACTGAGGCGAGGAGTACGTGAAGCCAAAGCGCTGGAGAACCTGCTGCACCATGTGTGACTGAGTCAAGGTGATGGTGCGCCGTGCTCTGTCCCGGGTGATCCGCAAGCCAAGATAGCTTGTCAGCTCACCCAGGTCTGTGCACGTGTGTCTCCTCTGCAGCTCCGACTTCACGTAGGCGAGTCCTGCAGTGTCAGCAGTGGCAAAGACCAAGTCGTCGACGTACACGAGGATGTAGAACGGCGGCAGCGAAGTGTCGGTGCGCAGGAACAGTGACGGGTCAGCTGTAGAAGGCGCGAACCCAAGAGCCGCAAGTGTAGTCCTCAGTGTGTCGTGCCACTCACGCGGAGCCTGGCGGAGACCGTAGACCGGCCGCTGAAGCCTCCACTGGGTACCAGGAGGAAACGACCCAGTGAAGCCAGGTGGGCGGCGCAGCCAGATCTCCTCGTGCAGGCTGCCCTGCAAGAAAGCAGTGCTGAAGTCAAGTGAGTGAAGCTCGTAGTCGCGGTGAGCGGCTATGTGCAGCAGCACCCGAAGAGTAGTCATCTTCGGGGTGGGGGAGAAGGTCTGGAAGAAGTCAACTCCCTCTCGCTGACTGAAGCCTCGAGCCACGTAACGCGCCTTGAAGACAGGCGGAGAACCCGGCGGCCGCTTCACCCTGAAAATCCACATGCCACTGACGATGTTCGCCCCAGGAGGGGGAACCTCGTCGACGTAGGTGCGTGTGGACTTCCAGGAAGCCATCTCTGCGTCCATAGCTGCCTGCCACTGAGAGGAGTAGGGACCTACCATCGCCTTTGCGTAAGAGCGCGGGGTCGGGATGTCTGGTGCATCCGGGTCTCCCTCAGGGGCAACTAGCAAGGACACGAGACGGGGCAAAGTAGCAGCAAGACACTGGAACTCCTCCTGTCTGTCCTCAAGGACGTCCGTGCCAAGAGCACACTCACCCCCGACGGACGGAGGACAGACAGACTCAGACGCAGACTCAGCAACAAGGCTAGCAACGTAGTCTAGACGACAGGCAGCAGCAAAGTCAACCAACTCAGCGACCAGAGCAGACGCAGCCGAGGACTCAAAGGTAGGGTCAGTGACAACAGTAGCGAGGAGACGCGTGACAGTAGGGTGCTCAGCACGATACCGGTCAGACTCAGGGTCCGGAACGTCAGGCAAAGAGGACGCAGGAGGTGACGGTAGAGGGACACGCTGAGGAGCAGTAGAGGGACGCAGAGTCATGTAGTGAGTGCCTGGGACAGGAGGAGGACGCTCACGACGGACACGACTACCAGTGCGAGCAGGACGAACAGGCGACGCAGGACGAGACTCAGGCTCACGACGCTCTGTAAGACCTCCTGTGGGACCAGTGTAAGGAGAGGGAGCAGGGAGAGGCGAGGTAGGCGGGAACTGTGACTGCGGCTGGACAGGCGGAGGACACTCTACGGAGGGAGGAGGACAAGGAGGAGGAGCCTGCCCAAGAACCTGCTGAAGGAGCGGTACGAAGTACGGTCGCGGCCGCGCAGCGTCTCCAGAAGCAGAGGAGACTCCAGCGGCCGGGTCCTCAGGACCAGTAGGAGCTCCAGCGTCCGGGTCCACAGCACCAGCAGCAGCTCCACCGGCCGGGTCCTCAGCACCAGTAGTAGCTCCAACGCCCGGGTCCTCAGCAGCAGTAGCAGCGCCACCGCTCGGGTCCTCAGCTCCAGCAGCAGCTCCACCGTCCGAGTCCTCAGCAGCAGCAGCAGCGCCACCGCCCGGGTCCTCAGCTCCAGCAGCAGCTCCAACGTCCGGGTCCTCAGCACCAGCAGCAGCGCCACCCCCAGGGTCCGCAGCACCAGGAGCACCACTCCGAAGACTGCAGCGCCGTGTGTACCACTCGCGGATCTGCTGAATGGGGGGGAGCTCCTGGGTAGGAGGGGAAGTACCGGGACGAGCTCCAGCAGCACCTCTCCGGAGGCGGCAGTACTCGAGGTACCTCTCCTGCAGCTGCTGGGAGGAGAGGGCTCCTCCAGGTGTAGCAAGCTCAGGCTCAGCACCCCCAGACTCAGCACCTCCAGACTCAGCACCCCCAGGCTCAGCACCTCCAGGCTCCGCACCTCCAGACTCAGCACTCCCAGGCTCAGCACCCCCAGACGCAGCACCCCCAGGCTCAGCACCCCCAGACGCAGCACCCCCAGGCTCAGCACCCCTAGCAGGACGAGAGTCAACAGCTACCTCGACAGGCTCACCCGGGTCTACCTGGGACACACCTGAGGGAGCGGCACCCTGAGGGGGGAGGGGGTCTGGTACCTCAGCACCTGGAGCGAGGAAGAGAGGCGGGGGGGGGAGCGGGGCAGTGCGGTAGGGGAAGAGGCGGTAGTAGGGGACGGACTCGTCAAAAGTGACGTCCTGAGAGGCCAGGACACGCCGCGAGGTGGGGTGGTAGAACTGCCAACCAGGGGCGTCCGGGACAAAGCCAAGGAAGACGCAGGGGACAGCGCGACGGGAGAGCTTGTCCGCGGACGTGTCGCGGACAAAAGCTCGGGATCCCCAGACCCGAAAACGCGACGCATCGCCAGCCTCTCCCGTCCAGCGCAGTGTCGGAGAAGTCTCGGGCAAGGAGACACGGGGCCAGAGGTTGAGCTGATGCGCAGCGTATCGGACTGCAAACGGCCACAGAAAATGGGGGGCAGCCGCATGGCTCAAGGAGGTACGAGCGACCTCCATGACCAGACCAATGCGGCGCTCAGCAACCCCATTCTGCTGTGGAGAGTCCGGAAGCGTGTACGACTGCTCAATGCCCTCCTGCTGACAGAAGGCCTCCAATAGGCCAGAGGAGAACTCATCACCTCTGTCAGAGTGCAGACGCAGGACAGGGAAATCGGAGCGGAAACGCTCACGGAGCTGGAGACGAGATCTGCGGATCCAAGGGATCAAGACATCAGGGACGTCACCCTTGGCGCGCAAGGGGAAGACCGTGGTGTAGCGCGAGAAGTCGTCAACAACAATCAGGAAGTACCTCTCCTGACCCTGACCACGGACGCGGGCTGGGCCCCACACGTCCATGTGAAGCGTCTGCAAGGGGGCAGTCGTCGGGGGAAAGGAGGAGGAGTGAGGAGCGGCGCGCTGCCGTCCCTCGACACAGGGAATACAGGGAGGAGCAGGCGAGTCGGGAAGGGGAGGGAGCACCCTGGGAAGACCAGCAACAAGGTCCCGCTGGTGCATGGCCCGAAGGCGCTGCACAGACGGGTGACCAAGGCGGTGGTGCCAAAGGACAGTCTCATGTGCCAGAGAGCGACACGAGCAGGGGGCGGACAGCTGACCTGACGCAGACGCAGACGCAGCTACCTGAGGGGACACAGTGGTCAGTGTGTAAAGGTCCGACCCCGGCTCTCGAGTGAAGGTAGCCAGGTGGCGACCCGTCCGAGCACACGTGCAGTGTGTCACGCGCTCGTAGGCAGGGGTGAACTGGTGAACACCCCCGTCCTGGAGCGCACTACCTGCCACCAAGTTCGTAGAGAACGAGGGGAGGT